GATTTTACGATTTAGAGAAATTGTTTTAGTAGATAGGCGCAGTTTTTGCTTTTTAGAAAACATCAAATAACAACATTCTTTCACTACCACTAGAGTATGATGACGAAATCGTGAATTAAAAACAGTTGCATTGGAGAGAATAATCATGATTAAAGAAAAAATATTGTTTACGGTAGCCACATGGCGTAAATCGTATTGATTGTTACCGAGAGCTATAATGAATTGTGCAGCTGTCTCTCGTGCTTCTGAAACGTTTGCCGTGTGATATTCAACACGTTTTGTATCATGATCCGTTTCGATTGAATTTGATAGAAGCAAAGTCTTACTTTTTAGAAGTGGTAGAGGAAACGAACCGAGACCCAAATAATCGTATAGTTGAAGTGTATCCAAAATAGTACCATCTTTCGCTAGTTCAGTAAATAATGTGTACAATTGTCCAGAATTGATGTAATGCAAAATAGCCACAAAACAAGAATATTCAATAGGATGATTTAATACAAACTCGCCTTTGTCGTTTTGAACCGATGTGAAATCATCTTTATGTGTCACAAGTTGAAATATATAGGGAATACGATTCACTTCTTGTTGACTGAGATGAACAACTTTATCGGATGTTCCAAGATGAAATGCATACTTAATTGTTTCATTTGAGTCACTTAAACTGAGAGCTTCAGCCATTTCTACTGACGATTAATCCAACAAATGGTTAAGTGTATTCTTGATAAAAACACTTTTTATGGAGGAAAAGAACGCAGAAAAATGGAAAGCGTATTTTTTCACTTACTGTTCTCATACTCATGAGTCATGAGTCATCATTATGTCGGCTTTTTCCAAGCATGGTTGTTGTTATAGGTTCTTCAGATAGTATGCATTGGTTAATGATACAAATTTTAATACTATTAAATACATACTTCTTAAAATGTACTTATGATTATTCAATAAATTCTAAGTGAATTGATGAACTACCGCTGTTTACTTATCAACAGTCGTGTTTGGAAGTGAATACACTGACATCTACTCGGAAAGAGCAATAATTCTAAAGTTGTCAAATCTTCCGGGTTTTTCGGATTTGAATACTATTTATTTCAACTATGTTTCACTTATTTTCTAGCAGTCTAAACAAATCATTACTACAATGGGCAGAGGCCTAATTTTTCCTGCTATTGGCTCACCTTAAAGACTAATGATTTCTCCTTTTCCCCATACGACTACGACAGTAAAAGAAGTGATATTTTGTTTTGGATTTATTTTCTCTTACATTGTCATAATGGTCGACCGAAATCAAGATGTAGAGATTTCAGTAGGAAATGAGCTATCACTAAAAGCACAGTCAACATCAACTAAAACTAATATAAAGAAAAAAATATAAACAAGAGAAAATACCAGGAGTATTCAAATCCGAATGATTGAATGAATTTAAATTTTTAAAAGAAATGTAAATCAGACAATAGTCAAGTAACATGCATCGTATGCAATAATCAAGTTAGTGTTCATTATAGTGGGAAAAATGATGTTGTTCAACATTCAAAGATTAAACAACATTCTAAAAACATGTCAGCATTCAGCATCGATTGTCAACTAATTACGACAACAATCAAACCAACTCACAAAAAAAATGAGATAGTTTCTGCTGAAGCTACACAAGTGTATGACGGTATTCGACATGGAATTTCATATTTAACTTAACAGCGTACAACTGATATTTTGAACGCTTTATTTGCCACGTCATCCATTGCTAAATATTTCTCATGTGAAAAAATGAAAGTTGCTGCAATAGAAACAAATATTTTAGCAGCTTAATTCACAGATATTCTTTTAAAAGAAATTACGTTTCCTTTTAATTGCTCTCCCACGCCTGGTGCTAGTAATACAGGCAATTTAAAGTTGCATCTGTTTTTTATTGAGTATTTTTCAGATGTAGGAGTCAAAAAACGAAATCATTCAAAATTTTCTTATTTAATAATACACTACGTAGTTAACGTTTTTCTAAACATTTATTTCAGATTTTATCAAGGATCCGAACGTATCAGTAGTTGATGGGTGTGGGTGGGGTGTTAGTGTCTGCGTGGGTGAGTGAGCGTTGAATGATTAAAAAAAAGTAGAACTTTGACTTTGAATTTTCTATTTGTTTTTAAAGATATGGTAATATTTCAAATTTCGCTATTTAGTGAACTTCTTGAGATTATTATATTCTAATTCATCATAGAAAAAATGTTATTTGAATGGTTTTTAGGTTGATAGAGTTTTCAAATAAACATTCAGTATAAATCGGTCGACCTGCTTGAAAACATGCATTTATGTATCAGAGACGGGGTGGATGTGGATGTGTGATGTAGTTCTGGGTTCACCTTATCTACACCGACAGACGCACTTTCTAATCCCTCCGTATTAGTTGCAGTAATCAATCCAAGGGAAAACGACGAGATAGCGATCACATCTTAGTTGGCAGAGCATGCCGGTTCTTTTGATTATACACATTCTGTGCGAAGTAAAGAGTATTCTTCATCATCTATGATGGATAGTAGTTGTATTATTCAGGTTCGGTCAAGAAACTTTCGCTACCTTGATGGCATTCTCTTACTAAAATAATTCCTGTGAAGACTATGCATTTCATGATAGGCTTCTCGTGTAACGCAAGCAGTAGTATCTGGCAACTCTGTCTATTCAATTAAGTGACAACATTCATATTCTAAAAAGACGTCTTGAACTATGAAACAAATTTTGACAACTGTGTTCTCATTTGTTGCATAGCGTATTTTTCAGTTCAAACGTAATCACTACAATCTGTGTTCTAGTCGCTTAACAGAAATGATGTGAGTAATGAATGGCAAGTAAAATTCAAATATGACCTCTTTAAAAATTAACCACAGCGATTGGATTGTTCTTCAGAAAGATTTGAGATTGACCAATGACTCTATAGACATCTACCATCATTCGATACTAAAATCATAAATTGCATTAACGTTGGGTGTGGGTGTGGGTGTGGGTGGTGTGGGTGTGGGTGTGGGTGTGGGTGGGTGCCATTGTACGTAATTCCTACAGCCACACCCACACCCACACCCACACACCCACACCCCAAAATGAAGAGCAAATAGTAACAATTAGAACCAAAACATAAATCGCCCGTCAGAAAAAAAAGAGAAATTCTTGATTTGAGCCTATTTGTATTTTGAATTAGTATAAACAAGCTGGAAAAGATTTATGAGCTCCACATTTTAGCCTCTTTGAGGCTGCACTAACAGATCTTTAAAATAAATATGTTGATATATTTCTGACTTGATTCATATTACAGTTGTAACCAACGTAAACAACCGAAAGAGATCTAAAGGAGAATAATGCTTTACGTTCTTCTATATTCTCACGAAGCATCGTTATCAGTCCAGATTCGTGTTTCTGTTATCTTTTTGTGATACCTAGACACATTTTTTGAAGAAAATAGTGAGTCTAAGTTTTAACGTAGCAAAATAATTACGAAAAGGAAACATATTGAGCGAATAACAACTATGACAATGAAAAATAATGATGTCAGTCAGAAAAAGTATTAAAAAATCTGGATATTAATATAATGAGCGTGAAGATAAGATGTAAGTTCCACATTTCAGCCCCAAAAGGGCTGCGCTAACTAGCTTGTGTCTTTTATTTCAAGGTCTATCTATGGTTGTCTATTAAATAAATAGATAAATCACGACAATGCATGTGTTTTATATGCAACAAGAGAATAATTTGTTCTAGATACTTTAATTAAAATTCAATTAATCAATTAAATTCTATCAAAAGAATTCTATATTTTTTCCATACATATTCTTCAGTATTTCAAATGGCGAAAAAGAAGAACTTCACCGTCGGTTCTAATGATGTATCTGCTGAAGAAGCTGAACGTGAATTCGGCATTTCACTTCAAGAATTAAAAACACTAATGAACATACGAGGTCGCGAGAGTTTAAGAGAACTTAATGAAACATATGATGGTTTTAGTGGTCTTGGATATAAGCTTAAAACAAATCTAATCACAGGTTAAAATAAAATTAATTTAAGAACAGACGAAATAAACAACAATGCAAATTATAAAATATATTATTTTCTGTTCAGGTTTGTCTGATGATAAAACTGATTTAGCCATACGTATAGCTGCGTTTGGTCGTAATGAAATTCCACAAAAACCATCAAAAACATTTCTTCATTTTTGTTTTAATCATTTCAAAAATCGTACACTTGTTATAGTTTTTATACTTGGGATCATTTCATTGGCCTTATCTTTCTATCGTCCAAGTAGAGAAACATTTCAAACTGGAATAAGACCAAGTAAATATATAATCCAAACAAAAAAAAGGACCAAGGACAGTTCTTTTTTTTTTTAATATTCTTTTATTTTTAGCGAAAGAAAAGTTTGAATGGATTGAAGGTACAATAATTATTGCTGCTGTACTAATTATTATTCTAGTAACAGCATTAAATGATTGGATAAGAGAACGACAATTTCGTGATCTTCAATCGAGAACTGAACTTAATACAACATTTAATGTTATTAGAGATAGTACAGTACGGCAAATTCCAATAAAATGTATTGTTGTTGGTGATATATGTGAAATTAAATATGGAGATTTATTACCAGTTGATGGTGTTGTTATACAATCAAATAATCTTAAAGTTGATGAGTCATCATTAACTGGAGAGTCAGATTTAATTAAAAAGCATGAATCGAGTGATCCATTTCTTCTTTCAGGTTAATAAATTCATTTTCTTTTTCCTATTGATAGACTATTTAGTAATTTAAATTAAATTATTTATTGCTTTGAATATTTGTTTAGGTACACGTATTATGGAAGGTTCGGGTAAAATGTTAGTTTTGGCTGTTGGTGAACATACTCAAACAGGAGAGTCATTCAAATTGTTCAACGTAGTCGAATTGGAAAATAATCATTATAGAAAACAAAATATTATATGTAAAGTATATTTTACCTTTTAAAATGTTCCCTAAACTTTTTCCTACTACATACTGAATGATCCAAATGAATTAAAAATTTTTAAAACGTCATTAATAATTTTAAAAAAGAACTAGTTTCGAATTATTTTGTAATTCATTTTTTTCACGAACTCAATAATCATGATGAAGCTAAATTACAAGAATTTATATCTGATAATTCCAATCAAACAAATAATGAAGCTAATTTCGATCGTTTTTAAGTTTCAGGACAATCAATTTTATACGCAAAATTAAGAAAATTAGCTTGTCGAATCAAATGGGCAGGTAAAAATTAATATCAAACGTTTTTTTTTCATTAATTGATTTTTATTCTATTTCTATTTCATTTATTTTTACAATTATTTTCAAATTATTAAAGATTTTTTCGCAACAATTCAGTCTGCTTTCCCATTTATGAATGAGTCTATACAAGCTATGGCTGAATTTATTAAATCGAAATTGTCAGATTTTCCTCGATTTATGATATGCTTTAGAGGAAATAGTTTTAATAATTTTGAAACAAGTCATTTCAAAAACCTCAATCCACAAACGCACACACCCTTGGCTCTACAATATGTATCAAATCGAACAAAATCTGACGACTTCGATTAAACAGTTTTTGTGAGAGTCGGTCATGCAAAGTGTACTGTGCGGGTTCAACTTTCGAACCCAAGGAATAAGATTCGTTTGTTTTCAATATATAGATCACTTATTTCATCTTTATCATACAAGTAACGTTCGTCGGTTCGACTAACTTGAACCTCGACTGTTTAAGACAAGTACATTGTGCATGTGAGTATCGAAGGAATCGATCTACCAGCCTCGTCACCATAACTGACTCAAACTTTGATTTCTTGAATGGTACAAGTCGAAGAAACTGATCGGCCTCTTTGAAAAAAAGCCTCATCCGTGGAAACCTAGTTATAAAACAGCTCATTCAGGAAGAACTTATCGCATGCGTAGGATTAACTGAATATTCAGTTTGAAAAATAGAATTGATGAAAAGCCGAATATTAAAAACCCGAGCACCGAAAACTTGTCCAAGGTTTTTTAATGACACTTCCTCGTTC